CCCAGGTAGGCAGATTCCCTGGAATCTGCCTAGCAACAGCTTAGCTGGGGGCAGGAAATACCTGCCACAGGGTGGTGAAACACTGGAACAGATTCTCCAGTGACGTCATAGATCTCTATCGCCAAAGACACTCAGGGTCAGGCTGGACAGGGCTCTGTGCAACTTGACCTAGTTGAAGATGTCCCTGCTCACTGCAGGGGTGTTGGACTAGGTCATCTGTAAAGGTCCCTTCTAACCCAAACTATTCTATGATTTTTGAAGCAATCCAGAAAAGGGTGTTTCTTGGTAAAGTCCTGTCAGGTCAAGTAGCTTGGCAGCAGAGGACGAATGGAAGTTAACATATTTAAAGTGCCTGGTAAGGCATAAAGCATATTAACATCTCTATATAACTGCAGCTCAGGAGCCACATATGGCAGGAATTAGAAGTTAAGATTTTTTTTTTTTTCCACAGAGCTTAATGAAACAGTGTCAACTGATTTATGTAATTATTTGTAACTATGCATATGTATAGATATAAAACTGTTTAACACGTCTATGTGTGTGCACAGTTTGGTGCTTCTGGCCTTAAAAACCAATCTGGAACACTGCAGAAACTGGTGAATGGAAAGCCATCGAAAGAGCAATTCCCAAGGGAAATAAGAGGAAGGTGGAAGAGAGAATAGACACGTGTTTGGGATTTGATTGTATTTTGAAAAGAAACAGAAATGTGATAAGCATTGAAAACCTGTTCCTAATGCTTGACCATATGTCCAAGAGTAGGAAGGTAATTAGTGAAACCCAGAAGATTAGCAATAACTTGTTTATGGGATGGACTTTTTTAATTTCAGTCCTATCTTTCTATGAAAAATGAAATCTGGTCAAATAAGAAGCTACCCAACGATAGTTCTTTTTTTTTTTTTTTCTTCTTTAATTTGTGAGTATAGCTAATTAGTTACTGCTGATTAGTCACACATAAAAAGCTCTGATGGGATTAGGTGAAGGGAAGGACTGTGCAGAGTCCAGAGGAAATGAACAAAACCATTTTAGTGCAGTACGAGATAGAGGTGCAACCTGAATTTTGTTTTAGATTCACTATGGAATTGGTGTCAGGTTACCGAACTTGGGTGTTTGAAAAACTTATTAAAATACCAAATTTTGAATGAGAGAATTTGAGGATGGATGGGCATCAAAACCTTAACTAAATCTAGTATAATTTTGATACAAATTTATGTCTTTATATAATTTTCACTTTGATATAAAAAGCAACTTGAAAGCTGTTCTTATTCATGGTGCATACTGTGTTTTTAGTAAGATATGCTTTTCCTTGGCTTTATGATATGTTAAAAATGTGAAAATACCATTCAAAACCACCATACTGGTTAATTGTTGGTAGTGATGGTGCTCATTCCTAGCTTGACATCTAGTGTGTTGGCAGATCTTAAATTGGAAGTAACCCTGAGTTTGGTTAAATTTTCTCAGATCAACTTCTTTAAAGACGCTCTGTTGTCTTGTTAGCTTTGCCAGCTATGCTCTCCTATTTCTCTGCAGACTGTTGCAGCTATTTTAAGTTACAATTGTTGTTTTGGAAATAATTTATGCTGGAGAATGAATTTTAATTTTATTTTCAATGTTCATGGTTGAAAAATTTTGAGTAATCAATCCTAAAATATTTGAAATGTTTAACCAATGGCATCCCATGAAACTAAAAATAATTTCTTTGAAATATCAGGTTTAAATTAGAAAAACATACTGTAACTAAATGTTTGTAAAAAGTAAGATTTTGACAGTAAAGAAAATATCTCCACGTTTATGCAAGAAAACAAACCTAATTTGATTTTCATAAACAAGGGAAGGCAGTAGATCATGCATGGTAATATTAATTGGCGATACTGTCAGGTATTTTTATGGATATTAAAATTTGTATTTGGCTTTAACAAACTGCCAGAAATGAACAACTACTGTCTGGGAAGTCAGGTGCGCTTTTACTCTTCTTGTAAGTTCCACAGCCACTTTTAGTATCAAGAAAGGAAAACCGTGAGCTTTCAGAAATGATGGAAAGTAGTTTTCAGAACTTGTGTCATTAAAATGAATTTCTGCTTATGTATAAACAAGCACATCTATTAAATTTTGTATACTAACGCATAGCGTTTCTTAATACATTTTTAACCTGACAGTGTCCCTAAATTATCATGTTTGCTTTCATTTTCCAGCTGGGTTTTAATTTTGCATGCATTTCAGTGAAATTAGTATGTGCATTAGTTGTTTCCTGGAAGCATTTTGGGGCTGCCTATGCCAGTGTTCTCCAAAATGAGCAAGGTAGTGAAATTTGTTTTCCTTTTGTGGAGGTTTGTTAGCTAAAGAATAAATAACGCTGAAGTGATTCAACTTCATGTGTATGTGTATCTGTTTTTGAACTTCATGTGATTTGAAGAATAGCTGTAAGTAATAAGGATCCCGTCTTTTTAATGACAACCCAAACAACTCCCAAATTTAATAGAACTAAATATTTCTGTTTTGAAGGGGAAAATATCCTGGTTAGTTTGGCAAAGCAGTTTGTAATGTGTAATGCTTGTCCTTAGTTTATCTCAGGAGCCTCTGTGAAGCTGGTTTTTTGAAGTAATGCCAATAGAAAGTGGAAGTTGTGCATCTGCTCGCCAAGCAAAGCAGAAACGCAAATCGCACAGCCTTTCCATCCGACGAACCAACAGTTCCGAGCAGGAACGGGCAGGACTGCAGAGAGACATGCTGGAAGGGCAGGTAAGAGAACACGCTGCTGCTGCTGCTGCCCGGGAAACCTCCGTCGCTTTTTTCTGAGGAGCGTTTTCTACGCAAAGAAATCGGATACATTTAAGTAATGAAATACGTACAGTAAAGCTGCAGGGGCAGCGAGCTTTCTTGCTTCTAAGTGCTCACGTCTTTGGAGTCTATTGATGTGGATGTTGACAGTGTTTCAGGTTGTTGTATTCAGACCTGTAGAACTTTTTATCGGCTTTTATGTATTCCTACATGAATGATAAAACCCTGAAGAAAATAGAGAGTCTATTTATTTCTCTGCATCTCTCCATCTCCTTAAAGTTGATGATTGATTCTTGATTTCATAAATTTGAAATAGTAGTAACCCAGGAATATGAATATGAATAAACTGAAATAGTTGTTATTATGACTCTGATAGGGAAGGTGTTGGAGTGCTCTTCAGCGTTCCATTCCATGAAGTAAACAAATACTGCCTGTGTGACAGAGGTGTGAGCTAACTTAGATTTTTTGGGGGTTTTCTTTGTTTGTTTGTTGGGGTTTTTTTCATTTTTTTAATTTGGCTCAAATGAAAGTGTGATCTTCTGTGTATTAACCTTAAAGGAAGAAACAACCACAAACTTCAGTAGTTTTCTTAATCGTGTCAATCTATGTAGTGGATGCAATGTGGAGCCACCTGGAGTGTTTTACATAACTATATTATTTGTTTAATTGAGTCTATTATTCAGCAAATTACAGTGTTAGTTTTCTTGGAGTTAACAGAGCCCGAGTTATTGCTTCTAGGCATCTAGAAGTTGGAGAGTGTAACTACTTGAACAGAAAACTGTTCATGCGTTTGAACTATTACAGCCTTACTTCAGGAAAGGAGGGAAGGGCAGCTGAGAGATCAAGGCATGCTGTCACCTCTGTGTGGTAAAAAGTTGTTTTAGTATTGCTTATCAAACAATGTAAGTGTTTTGTGCTGTAATATGTAAATGCTTTAGATGTTTTATGTATCATCTAATTTAATTGTGTTGACATTTAACCTCGAACAGCCAGTGGCAGATTCTAATGAGTAAAGAGTATTGATGCCACTTCATAGAGGAACTGTAAACCACATGAGATCTAGATAAATACTTTTGCAGATAAGCAGATAATATTATTACATGGTGTTTTAATAAGCTAATTTAAATAATGCCAACTGTAAAGAGAATAAAGGAAGTGGGTGAGTTTTACTATGCTGGTTACTTTAGGACATATATATTTACTTATGCCTTCAGGCTCTGAGAAGTAGATTGAAAAACTTTCTTACTTTCTATTTCTAAAGTTGTAGGATGACTTAGTTTCTTTCATAATCTTATTGTATGGAATTATTGGGTAGTTGAATCAGAAGTAATTCTTCTAACTTCAGTGTTTCTCATAATAGTGTTTCATTTGCATAGTATTCTTAAATCAGTTTTTTTTCAAGTTGGTTTTAGTCAGGATCTGTTTCATGTTCTGATTGACTGCAAATGCCCGAACAAAAGTGCTGTCTCAAGGGAGAGGCAGGTGAAGGTGCAGGAGGGAACATCCTAGCGGAGCAGAAAGAGCACAGCAGGACTTCTGTCAGCAGGTGCCGCAGCTTAAAGTAGCTGAAATTGGTGTAAAACTGAATTATGTGCAAAGCAGATGGGCTGTACGTCATGGCTGTTTGTGATTTCTCTTGTTCTTCTCTTGAAAATCGACGTTTAGAAATGGCTGACAAAATCGGGATCCCAGTGGGCTTTTCTCATGGTTTCATCCTGACGGGATGAACCAAACCTGAGTGAGGTTAAATTCTGGTTGTTCACATGCTGACTTGGTAGAAGGCGCGTACTGCCCTCTGATGGCTGCTGTGCACATGCTTCCTCCTCATTCCGGCGGTTTATTTCTTTACATTCCGTGTATATTTGACAGATGAGCACTGATGTATTTTTAGTACAGTATACATGGTATCATAGTAGTTTCATTTTGAAATTTGGTAGCTTGTTTCCCTGCCCAGATACTTCTCAGTTTTTGAATATAGCTGCATTATTTACAGATTTGTCCAGTAATAAGATGTGGTCTTACTGAATTCTGAGATGATGAGTTAGATGTTCTACAAAGCAGTAGTTGAGCTTTTTCTTTGTTAGAGTCAGACTCAGTTAAGTGGAAAGTTAACTTTTCAGAAAGGTCTGTAGCTGGCTTCCTAGATAAATAATAAATGCAGTAAACCAACTTCTACATATTGTGGTTCACGAGCAGTTGAAGAATAGAACAGGTTTAGTAGAATTTGTTTGTGTAGTGGGAAAGGACGGTTCATTCTTGGATCCATACTTGTTGTGAATTAACTGATTATAGACTAATGGAATTATTTTCTCCTTTCTGATTTGCCATTTTTAGTAGCGTGCTCTGCTTCATATTTTAAGGTGTTTGTTTGTACCAGGTTCTCAGTGTAGTTGCAGTCAGTTGTCTTCTGCTTCACCCACTGTCTCAAGTGTTTGATGACACGGTCATTGATACAGTGAGAACCTCGACTTCCAATAGAAAATCAGTACCTACTTGGTTTGTGCCTGGTATGTGTGTGCTCAGGGGAGATATGGTGCTGGTCTCTGTTTTAGAGGCAGATTAATAAAATATAAATAACTTGCCAATGAGAACTTGTGGTGAGGCTGTGTATTGAGGTTGTATCGTATAAATCGCGTGTTAGTGGTTTTATTACATACTTGGGTTTGTGCCCAGAAGTTGCTGTGTTGATTAGGCTGAGGAGTTTGCCCTCCTTTGTGAATTTGCTTCAGAATACTTTTTGTGAGGAGAAGATACTTGAATAATATCTAAGGAGGGAAGTGTTAGAAACTGCAGGTTTCTTTCACGCTTGGTTTTGGCCAGTGACAAAAGTAGGTAAGTGTTAAAATGTGTTTAAAAGGTTAGTTTATCTCAAGCTTTGGTAATGAGGTGGTTTGCAATGACAGCTTTGTAACCTAATAAGCAGTCAACTGCTGAATTGCTTTGTAAACCAAACTGGAAGCAGCTTGACATAATTTTGTAATTTTTTTCTTTTTTGGAGTTGTACATGTGTCTTGATTTTATAATTTTTTTCTCCAGTAAAAACAAAAAAACCCTCATAGATGATTTGAATTCCCTTCCATGAAAGGTAAAAAGTATATGAGTACTTTTATGATGCTTAGAGTTTTTTGGTTGTTGTTTTACACTAGTAGTAGTTTAAATTTCCCTCCCTGCTGGGAGATGGAAGGAATTGTTAAAATCAGTTTAAGATTGAATGGTAACTGTGTAAAATATGTACAGAAAAATATAAACCCCAGTATTTTATCTTCTAGGATTCTAAACTACCATCTTCTGTCCGGAATACACTCCTTGAACTTTTTGGACAAATAGAGCGGGAGTTTGAAAACCTATATATTGAAAACTTAGAATGTGAGTATTTGTTTTTTCTAGCAACTTACAAATTGTTTGGATTTAGGATATAGTGGTGCTAATTGAGATGCTTACAGTGGATGCTGTAGTGTTACTAGTGAAGCTTTTCTGTGGGGAGTTAAGAATTATATTCAGCTTGTAGCCAAAGATGGAGTTTGTACCTTTTCAGAAAATTCCCTTTTTTAAGTCTTTGACACAAGTAGTGAGAACCAATATGTGTCATCCTCCTCGACTGTTAGGCAAAGAAAGCAAAGTGGCTGTTTCCTTGTTGTGGGCTCTAGTATATACCGTCTTAATCTGTCAGTAACTCTGTTCAGCCACTGCAGTTTGTGGCTTTGCTGTATATTTACAGGCTTAATTTAAATGATGTAATCATTTAATCGTGCGTCTTACTTGAAGTAGTGTAAAATGTGGTGATTTGGGATCATACTAGTTAGTACGTTGCATAACCAGCACCTGTAAGCGTTCATGAATACTGAAGTCGAGGACTTGGATGAAAATTCCAGATGTTATTTGCAAAAAATGTTATTTTTTTATTGCTGGTATGGTAATGTAAATGATCCAAAGTGGTGTAAGAGGATCGCAACTAAGTAATGCAGGCAGTCGTATGGTAAAGCCTCTCCTCAATTTTCCTTGCTGCTTAGTGGAAGCTGTGTTGTATGTCTTGGCTTCTGAACGGGGGACTCTCTGATTTGACTCAGGTCAATTTTTTTTTTTCCATATCTAATCGGGTCCCAGTTAAACCAAACGCTCATGTTAAAAAAAACATTCTTGCATGCTTTTTGAAAATGTGCTTGGTCTTTCTTGTCTTAAAATCTTAGATTGTGCTGGTTAAGAGCTACCATTGACACTACGTGTCTTTTTCACTAAGAATTTACACAACTGAGTTCTCAGCCTCCTGTTGCGAAGTTGACTGGTAGCGAGAAAAGTAGGGCTTCCCTCCCCAACTTTCGAAACTGTTTGTCAGAAAACACACGGTGAATTTGTACCCTCCCGAGTCTGATTATTTTCCTGCCATTCCATTTCTGTTTCTTCTTCATCTTACTTCTTTACCTCCACATTTAGTTCACTCATGATCCCTGTGATCTCTTTACATGCCCTGACAATTTCTAAATTTTTCTATTCTGATGCTCAGTCTGTTATTTTTTTGTTCTTAGTCCTAATTCCTATGCTAGTGTTGTGGTTGCTGTACATAGAGAATCTCACATTTTTATTCCCTGGCTTTTCATATACTCCCTTTCCTTTATTGTAACAACAAAGTTTCTTCCTTTTCTTACCCCTTCCAGACTTCAGTCTTAATCCTGTCAGGTAATTCTTCTATCTGCCAGGCTTGTCTGTTTCAGTATCTGTTACTGCAAGGCTGTCTCTGTTTACTTTCTCTTTCATATTGTCTGTGTTTTATAAAGTTTATGTTTATGTGACTGGGAAGACAGGAAAGAATCTTGTTTTGCCCATTTCAAGCACTTGGATGCGATATGGAAGTGTAAACTGACTTTTCTGGTGCTTAGAACTGAGACTTCAGTGATTCCTCAGAAATGGCAAGAATTATAGTCCTCATGTGTCACATTCCGCCACGATTGAAAACTTGGGAGTGAACGATTTCTTTAAAAGAAGTCCTAAGAATTTATGAAAAGATAGGCCTAGTCTCTCAAGAACAACAAAAAAGTGCTTGGTTAAAGCCTCTCCATATGATTTCATCTCAGGAGAACACATGAAGAGTATCAGCCCAGATTTTGAGGACAAAAACTCTAAGCCACTGAAAATGTTCTTTACGAAATGTAGTTGAGCAACTTCAAATCAGCCTGGCCACTGAAAATCATTTACAAGTACCTGATGTGTTTTAGCTATGCCATCACTCTGTCTTGTGTTGAAATAACACTAGTGAGACTTAAAAATAATTGACAGAAAAGCATATTTTTATTACAAATACATCCTTTGTCTGATGTGCAATGAAAATATTTTGATCATATTTAGTGTTTCCAAAATTGCTGAACTTAAAATATATCATAATACATTTAAAAATATATTTCAAAGTACAAAGAAATACACGTTTGCTGCAGTGTCTTTCTTACTAAAACTAAAAGTAGACAGGCATTCAGGGGAGAACACTATTTCATGATGAATAAAATCTTTATCAAGAAATGACATACTAGTTCTGTGGCTGAAATATTTATGATGCTGTAAGTTTTGTGTCTTCTGTTGTATTTCATTCAATACAGGTGAGTAGTGCATCTCACGGAAGCTGTTTTGTTAATCCTTACCCACATTTATTAGTAAAAGTAACAGTAATTAGAAGCCACCAATATTTTCCTTGGAATCTGGGTCAAGGTTGATCTCTGGAAAATTCAACATTGATCTTGGTTTATGTCTTGGTGTGACTCACTTTATAAAATTACAGCTGATAGCTTTTTCTGTCCTTAGCATAAAATAGATTATTTAATAACCATAACAATTCCTAAATAGTTTGATCATGATGTTGCTAAGGCTATTAATTCTTTGTATTAATGTGAATTTTTGTTTTTGTTAGTACGTAGAGAGATTGATACACTGAATGAGCGTTTAGCAGGTGAAGGACAGACAGTTGATGGAGCTGAACTGAGCAAAGGACAACTGAAAACTAAAGGTGAGAGAACTACAAATAATCCTAAATAAGTATTTTTGAATGCACTTTTTTTGTTCTTTGCTGCCCCAAACTTAGAATCTTATTGAAGTGAATTAATAGCAGTTGCTTATACAAATAAGCTCATGCTGTATTTGAAATATCTTCCTTTGAATTTGTCTCAACAGCCAGTCATAGTACCAGTCAGCTTTCTCAGAAATTAAAGACAACTTACAAGGCATCTACTAGCAAGGTATGAGACAAATTAAACCTCTACTCATCAGTGTGTACTCATGAGACTAACACGGCTCTCTTTAAGTTGTAAATTGCCCTTTCTTTAAACTGAGTAGTGCTGTTGTTTATGTAAAAGTTCCTCATGAGGAACAGTGTGTTTATCATGGATTCATCACTTACCCATCACTCCAGTTACACTATGTGGCATTTTTTACAGTAATTGCTCATCTTTTTATAGAATGACTGTTGGAGGGTCTGAGAGAGAGTGTGTATGTGGGATTACTTTTTACAAAAGAGAACTAAAAAAGCAATTCGATGAGGGCGGTAGAGAACTTAGTAGGTAATGAATTTCTGAGTAAAGATGTAGCTATGAGACTAGAAGAGTTTGTTTTCTTTATGTTGCAAGCCTCGCAAATTAGTAGCTAGAGATTTTTTTTTTTTTTTTTTTTTTTTGGCCTGGTCTCTTAGCACAGTTATCCATCATTTTGCACGTCTGTCTAGTAGTTTTGTTTCTGCTTTCTCTCCCCTGTTTCAGTTTTCAAAGAGAGTTTCTTTACCTGCTGCTCTTTTTGCCCTGTCTCAAGGTCATCTCGGGACACATTATTAAGGGTAAATGAAGTGTGAGGAAGCCACAGTGGGATCTGGTATGTGAACCAGCCATATGAGCAGCTCTGTGGCGACCTCTGTTACAGGCTAATGTGTGGTTGAGAAATGACTGTAGGTGTCACGGAAATACCATCTGTTAAGTAGTCTGAAAGGCTGAGAATAAGAATAGCCTAATGAAATAGATCCAAGTTACTGTGTTATTTTTGGTCTCCTTTTTATTTTATTGTTTGTTCAAACTTTCTCCTATTTTTGCCAATTTGAGGTGCCTCTTCCTTACGCATTAATGAGTTACAAATTCTTTATTGAGGCCTCTTAAATAGGGACAACATGATATTAATAGGGACGATACAGTATTAGTACATCGACTATGTAGTTATGAGTTAGTACTTTCTCTAGTGTAGTGTTGGAGATGGTATTTTGGTTGGTGGTTTGGTTTTTTTTGTTTTTCCCTTAGGCTGATGTTAAATGTTAGCCCAGGCAAGGCAGGGGAACCTTGTAACTTCAGCGTGGGAAGCTGGGAAGTATGGGGTGGAGAGTCCTGGGTAACTGCTTTGCTTTCCAGTGTTCTGATCTGCGTGCACAGCAAAGTAGTCGTGAGTAGCAGAACATGAAGAATTTAATACTTAATTATAGACGTTGTACATAGCTATTATGTGAATGGACAACCAACAGATGTTTGAATGCACTGAGATACTTCTTTTCATGACTTACAGTTTACTGTGGGTATAGAGAGGCAAGCTGAGGGAAATGATTGAGAGCATCTCTGTCCACTGTGTTCTTTGAAACATTCCTGCACGTCATGGGTGTGACTTTATCGTGACTGCTTCTTCCTTTCTACACAGAAAAGTCAAAGCTGTAACATTTTGTCTCTTGGCCCGGAAAGAAACTATAGCCAAAAGTCAGCAAAGACTATAAGTTTCAAACAAACTGCGATCTTTCTTTCTATGTCCTGGATGCAGAGTTCCCCAATACCTTACCTGGGAAGATGACTTTTGAGGAGTTTTGAGAGTTCAACATTTCTGAAGTTCTTGGAAAGTTCTTAGGTCTTTTGAAGTTCCTACATCTCTAGTTTTAATGAGCATTCAATGAACAATGCTGTTCACCAAAAAAGGGTTGTGTTCCAAACTCAGCTGTGTAGTGGATCGCAACTTCTCTCTTCAGCCCATCCTTCATACTGTTCCTGTATGCCTAACTTGAAACTTGTCAGATTCTTTATTTTCTTTTTTCCCTATGGGAAGTTAGAAGAGACTTAAGTTTTACAAACACACGATTACATTTTTGTGATTGTCAGCCTATAAAGACTTCGTGTTTTTCTGGAAAGAGCTTTCAATATTTGTGTCTTCTAATGAGAAAACTGGTCTGTGACTGCTTTAACATTGTTAAAACATGCTAAGACTAAAGCAGTCTGTTCAGTTTCTTGGGGAAAATGCTGAGGTAAACGTACTTGATTTGAATCCTTCATAGAAAATTCCCATATCTGGAGCTTGAATAATTAAGTTGGCAAAACTCATACTAGAAAGGATGCTTTCAATAGCAGAACTGAGGAGATAGAGTAGATTTAGTGCCTGGTACTCTAAAAATAATTCTTTGTGTATGTTCATGGACAAAATACTGTAATTTAACTGTAGTTGTTTGTAGATGCAGGAATGGCTGCAGGAAATTCATGTTTTGGTGTTACAAGGTGGTGTTGTTGATGTTAACAGTCCCTGGCTATGACAGTTGTTGAGACATCAGGAAAACATTAACAGTTTATGCAGACTTCTAACATAAACTGAAATGATGTCATTTGCTCTATTATAAACTAACTTCAGGATCCCTGATTCTTTTAAATCAGGAAAAGGACTCCTAAAGAAAGTGATTTCTTCACCCAGCAGTTGAAGGGGATAAATTTCTTTTTAGAAGATGTAGTTTTTGACCTCGCTGCTTAATGTTGCTCCAGAGGAAGTTCTTCTCGTCAGTCACGGTGTAATGCTGCTGGACTGGTCCCGATTTGACTGAGTTTTCCTTCTTATCCTGTCTTTCTAAGAGCCATTTTTACAGTGTATTTCAGTTTGATTGCCATACAATTGTTTCAGTTTGTGTTCAGTTTTCAGTTGTTGAAAAGAATTATTTTGATGGTGTTTCAATTTGCAATTTTTGATTGTTTGCATGGTAAGCAATTACTTCCTTATTAACAAATATCTGCATAGAAGGAAGTACACGGAGCTATATGGATTTAAGGAAGAGGGCAGACAAAGTTGAAACACACGAGATAGGCTTGCCGTCTTACTTGTGTTTGTATATGATAATCTGAGATCTACTGAAGTTATTTTAAAATTTTTCTGCAGTACAGAGGCCTCTTTTTAGCAAGTTGCATGTTATTTAAGTATTTCCTTTCCTTTCCAGGAAAATTGTTTATGTATGGTTAAGGAACCAGAAAATAATGCAGACACTATCCAGTTTATCCAATTACTGGTATGTGAAGTGAGGGACAGCAAAAAAGAAAGAAGGGGGAAAAAAAGTGTTGTAAAAGCGTGTGTTAAATAAATATCCGTATCTGGATTTTTAGTGTTAGTGTTTTTGAACTCTTACCTTCTGTGTGTTCATTCAAGTCTGCTAATACTCCAGCAGGAGTTTTACAGCCTTGCCATTAAATGATCAATGAAACCACTGTCTGGCAGTTTTTGAAAACCTGTGCTTATTGATGAGTAGGAGAGAGTTTCTTCTGGAAAAGGTTTGTGTGAGGAATTGGCTCAACATCAGAAAGACAGAACGCAAGCGTAGTTCAAGTGTGCGGCTGGGAGCTGAAAAACTGGGAGGTTTGGAATTCGATCTGAGCACTTTATTAGTCCTTAATTGTTTACTTAATTCTGCTGTTCCGCGTCTCACACATGACTCCATTTAGGGCTACAGGAGGACCATATTCACTGTGAAGGTTCCGTGTGTAGGATTGTATTCAGAGCCTGTGAAACTCTGCAGCGTGGTTGAACCAACAATCTTTTAGCATTAACCCATTTTCTTTTCAATATATGCTTAATGATTGTTCCTCCTTCTGCTGTGAAACCAAAATGCCTATTAGCTGTTAAGTTGGAATTCAATGCGCATTATCATTTTGTCATTGGAAAGTTGACATGCTCAGGATTTGGGAGTGCTCTTGCAGATATTAACTTTTGAAATCCTTTTTGGAAGTAATTTGTTTTAATGACTTACTTAAGACCTTCTTTTCTGATACCAAAAACTAATGGGATTTTAACCTTAGTTTATTGTAGCTGAAATGCACATGTAATTAATATTCTAACTTCTACTAAGCTGTAGATAAATCTTAATGTGACTTGTGTTGAAGCATTTAAAGGTTTTGACTTAACCGGCGTGATAGATACCTGCCCGTAATTGCACGCAGAGGAGAATACTGATAAATAGAAGTCATCTTTTTGTTTCATTTTTAACAAAGCTTTTCAGATAGTCATTCTCAAAGAACACTGAGCTTCAAGACTTTTGGAGTAAAAGTAGAGTATTTTTAACAATGGTTTTTGAAGTCTTTCACCACTCTTTATTCAGTTTTGTCTGGAAATTTTCCAGTGAAATAAACTTATTTTAAAAAAAATAATAAAAAATACTGCACTCCATTTTATCTGAAAATGCAGAATTCTGCAGTTGTTTCTTTTTGTCGATACTGAGTGTTTTCAGCCTTCCTGTACTATAGTGCCTTGTTTTACCATATTTGCTACACTTCTTCCTTTCATTTGGTATTGCGTACATACCTTCTAATTTGAATCTCATGAGTCTTCTCTGTTTTCCTCTAATAGCATTGACTTTAGGGAAGTGTGCTTATCAAACCTCTAGATGAGTTTGACATACTTTAAAAAAACCAAACATACAAAACTTTATTACACAAGTAAACTGGCGTATGCTCTTAGGTTCATGTCTGATGTGATTAGTCTTTGCAGTTTAGAAGAAAACCAGCAGTATTTATGTGGATTTTAAAAATTAATTATTTATTAATTTTTTTATTTTGTAATAAATATGTTGTTTCAAAGACCACACTAGATAACATGGACTGTCTTGAAGTTATCAAGTGTACTTGTTTGGAAATAGGCAAGGAAAATGGTGTTGTTTTTTTTTTTTTTTCCTTTTTATCTTAAATTATATCCTGTGCCCAAACTGAGTGGGACGTGCACGCTGCATTTGTGCAACTCATTATTCCAATGAGATTGTATTACTGTGGTACAGAATAGTTTATCTTGCATTCTGTAAAAAGGGCAGTGTTATTAAAAAAAGAAGAAAACCCAAGAAATTAAGAGGTATATTTGCATTCAGACTTGATTTGCTACCTTCAAGTGTCGAATTTTTGACAGTAGTGAACTGTCAGAGCGCTGAAGAATTGTTATGAAAAAGGATTTATTTGTGAGATAATTACTTAATCATGGTTCAATGTGGAAAAAAAAATATTGTTGTCTCTGCAATTTCAGATTGTATCCAGTTTTAAAACTACAACATCAAGGGCAATCTGTCAACTGGTAAAGGAGTACGTTGGCCACAGGGATGGTATTTGGGATGTCAGCGTCGCGAAAACTCAGCCAGTGGTGTTGGGAACTGCATCTGCTGGTAAAGTTTTGTATTGCTTGAATCTTGAGAAAGTTCTGGTTCAGTCCCTAAGCTGTAGCAAATGTAGATCAGAAGCACACCTGAATACTTAGCTCCACATTGAGTCAATTTAAAGAAGTGCAGTAGCTGAAAAATTCGTTAATTGGAGTTTCCTCTAAATGCATTTAGCCTTTAGAAAGTTCAAATGTCATTTTTGATCCTTCTGAAGTGTGTGCCAGGCAACTTCTGAGCAGGTCATGCATCCTTAGGGTCAGCTCTAGCCCATGGATGGGGTAAACATGCAGACAGGGGAGCTGCCTGCTTGGAGATCCCCACAGGCTTCGTATCGTAGCGTTGTTTAGCCTTTCTTTTATAGAAGCTGTAGACTTCGCCCTAGTTTGCGTATTCTTGTATTCTTGCATTCATCTGGCTTTTGCCTAAGGATGTAGGGGCAACTAAAAACCTTAATTTTTAATTCTTACCAACTTACTAGATTCCCTCTTCCCACTTGAGAGGGAATGGGCACTAGTGAATAAGTCACTATGATCCAAAAATCAGTCCAGAGGCTTGTGTGATTTCGGGAAATTACAGAATCACAGAATTTTAGGGAATATTAGGGAAGGAAAACTCAACCAGGTAGCATTGGACTATTTGAAGCGACAGTCTTTTGAAGCTGGAATAGAAGCTGAAGAAACTTACTGGATGTAAATATTATGGACCATAAACCTTCATAAGTTGAACTGTTACCATATTTATGTGCCTGCTGAGGGACACATTTTGCACTTGTGTGGGACATCTTGTCTTTGTCCTGATCTAACCTGTAAACAGCCATTCTGCAATTCAGCATTAAAGTTCTCCCCACTTACAAATACTTATATTAATTATTTATTTTGGGATGTGGCAGGGTAAAGACATGAGATTTGGTGTGACTTCCTTTTTCAGTAAATTTTTGTAGCGCTCTGCAGTGACCTGTGTCTGTTTGGGACTTCTTTGCAGGATGTAAATAGTTTATGCATAGGACTCCTGTTTGTAGTGACTGCCTGACTTTTCCCCCCCGAATGCTTTCTATGTTCTTTCCTGACCTCTTTGATACACCATTGGACCATTATGCTAAATACATAACCATGTATAAGTTAGGAAAGATATCGGAAGTAGAATTTGCCTTTCAATATTTACTGTAAATTAATCCAATTAGGACAGTGTCTTTACTTTTCTGGGGAGACGTGTGTTAAGGTGGTAATCGAGGGGATTTGGTCTCTACATCTGAGATGTATTTCGCATGGTGTGTCTCTACATTCGAGGATAACTTGTTTGTTGGATCTATTGAAAGTGAAAAATATTTGTAACAATATTTACAGCTACTTTTTAATCTTTGTAGATCACACTGCTTTGTTGTGGAGCATAGAAACGGGGAAGTGCCTCGTCAAGTATGTAGGGCATGTCGGATCAGGTAAGTTAAGGGCATGCTGTGAAAACTGAAAAAGTGTGGGAGGGAGGAGATACGTTTTGGACAATTACAAAATTGTTCATTGTGGTTTCACTTGCAGGTTTGCCAACATCGTTAAGTCAGTTTTGAAATTCCACTAATCTTCATACAGAGTGTTTTGTAATATTATTTCTTGGAGAGGCTTATTAAGACAGTTCTGTAAATGCTAAATGAATAAACAAGTCCGTATAAAGAAATTTACAGGCACGGTTACGACATTCAGAAGTTAAATGTCAGAACTTGTTGAGGTTTCATACATATGCAGAACAAGAGTAGCTTATATAATCAGAAATCAGCTGTTTTGCGGCATCTGTGTTTTATTTGGGATACAAAATACAGATGCTGGGTGAACATCTATGTGCGCTTCTTCACAAATGTTTGAGTGATCGTACCCTGGAGTGAGGATGAGGGACGCAGTTACTGACCTGGTATTTTTGGTTAAGTAGGTCAGCTAGCAAGCACATCACATGAACTTTGTGGCAAAGATACAAATAGAATTAAGTTCTTCAGAGAGTGGTCAACTGCTTCAACTGTGAATTATTATTTTTATTTTCTTCTTATATGACTTCTAAGCTCCTACAGTCCAAAGATATTAATAGATAGATGCATAGAAACAATAGGTAACGCTTCAATTCCTTCAGGTATTTCATGTTGCTTGCTACGTAGAGAGGGTACCTTTAGCCTCTATAAAGTCATGTTTAAAAACTCAATCAATTGTGTTTTCGTGCCAGTAGTTGTTTTTTGTAAAAAAATTCCTCTTTGGATAACCATGAAAATAATAAAAGCTCTAACCTGTATTTAAACAGTTGTGCATAAACTAAGTAAAAAAAACCCAAACCATTATAATTTATAAGTAATATATAAACTTGTATAAATTAGATTAACAACGATGTATTTTTCATTTAGTAACATTTTAATTGTTTACATCTGACAGTTGATTTGAAACAGAGCAAAGGTATTGGGTGCCAGCAGTTGGTGGTGCACTGTTGAGTTAGTTTAGTCTTAACATTGTCAGTGGTGACACTCTCCTGACAACATAAGCATCTATTTTACTAGTGTGAGGGATGGAAATGATTTCTCTGTTCTTTCTTGAGTGACTGTGGAAGAGGAGCTTGGTAATGAAAAATAGAGTCTTACGCATTCATATAAAAATACCCCAAAGAGTTTTGTAGACTGATAGAATTCTTGCAGGACTATTTTAAAACAATAATGGTTTTTTGATTACAGATGGTTGCAGGACTGAAATCTAGTTTGTATTATTTGCATTAGGTTTTTAAGCATTTGTTCTTGCAATCTTAAGTAATAATCAGAAAGTTGAGTGCCATATATAGTTAATTTTTGTTTCGTTAGACATAGTTACAAATACTTAAGTTCCCCTTATGGAAGTCCAGAGCATTATCTCCTGTCAGTTTACACACGATTATTTGAACGTCATTTGTTTATCCTCCGTAACATGAAACACTTGTACTAGATTTAGGAATTGACTTGCTAGGAAATACATATTGTTGTATTATCAGCTGCCACTGCTTTCGTTGATACTACATGGGTTCATATACTCTAATAAAATACCGTTGTGCTTTCTCACCTAAGAGAAAGATTACTCAAAACCAAAGACTTCTTGATTTTTCAATGCTTTTAATGATAAAACATTGTGGAAATAATTCTTTTAGTATAGTTGCTTAAAACTTTACTTTGTTTCACACAGTAAATTCCATAAAGTTTCATCCAACTGAGCAAGTGGCTCTTACAGGTATGTGAAGTTTTTTTAATATGCTGAATCTGTTAGTCATGTTGGAAAAATCAGTGTCATTTGCTAGCATCTCTTTGGTTGTAGCCCCTCTATTACTTTGGTGATTGAATTATTTTTATACTTTAAGGCATAAGAAATCAGAGCTAGGTCTTTTTATCTGTGTGTGTTATATTATAGTAATTTGTGCTTACCTGCTCTGAAACAGATATTTAGAATTATACTTCAGCTGAGTGTTTACATGTCCATGGGGCCTGATGGGGTTCATCTCAGAGTATGGAAGGAGCTGGCAGATGTTGCAGCAACACCCCTTTTGATCACCTACCAAAGGTCTTGGGAGTGTGGGTGTGGGGAGGTCCCTGCAGACTGGAAGCCAGCACTGTTATTCCAGTTTACAAGAAGGGTGGTGAGGGAAGACCCTGGGAACTACAGACCTGTTAGTTCAGCCTCAGTTCCTGGAAAAATTATGGAGAAGATTATACTGGGTACTGTTAAAAGGCATTTAAAGAATAATGCAGTCATCCAGCATAGACAGCACGGAGTCACAAAGGGAAAGTCCTGTTTAAGTAATTTAATAACCTTCTGTGATAAAGTCACCCACCTAGTGGATGAAGGGAATGTGATGGATGTGTTTTTTCTGGATTTTAGTAGGCTCTTGATACTTCTGTCCCTCACAGCATCCTTCTGGACAAGTTGTCTGACAGTGGGTTCATGGTGTGCTGACTGGAGAGCTGGCTGATGGGCAGAGTTCAAAGGGTTATAGTGACTGAGACTCCGTGTGGCTGATGATCAGTCACCAGCGTGTTCCTCGGGCAGTTCCGTTTGATAGATTTATCCGTGGTCTGGATGCAAGGGTTGAATGCTCCATTAGCAAGTTCACTGAGGATACCAAACTGAGAGGTGCTGTTGACTCTTGAGGGACAAGGTGCCTTAGAGGGGAATCTAGATAGATGGGGACATCAGGCAATGGTCAGTGGGATGAAATTTAACAAGTCTAAATGTTGGATTCTGCACCTAGAACAGAGTAACGCTGGGCACAAGTATAAACTGAGAGAGGAGTGGCTGGAGAGCAGCCCTGCGGGAAGGGGATCTGGGGGTGCTGGTCAGCAGCAGCTCAGTACGTGCCAGCTGTATGCCCTGGGGACACAGAGGGCAAACCCCATCCTGGGGTGCATCCGACCCAGCGTGACCAGCCAGTCAAAAGAGGTGATTTCCCTGCTCTGTTTAGTATTGGTGTGGCCTCACCTTGAATACTGTGTGCAGTTCTGGGCACCACAATTTAAGAGGGATGTGAGGATCCTTGAATGTGTCCAGAGGAGGGCAGCAAAGCTGATGAAATGACTGGAAGCAGGGTCCTGTGAGCTTGTCTAGTTTGGAGAGAAGGGGGCCAAGGGGAGACCTCATTGCTCCCTGCAGGGTAGGGAGTAAAACGCTTTCTGTCTAGGCTGACTGTTTTAAGTTTGGGTATTTGTTCTCTCCTGTTTTTGTATGCTAACTGTAGCCCAGTACCATAAACATTGTTGCTGTATAAACTGACTTAAAAAACCCAAAAGAAACTAACCAAACTAAAGCTGCTCATAGCTAGATTTTTGTTGTTGTATTATTTTCCTGAGAGATGGTTCTGCAAAGTATTTCTGTTCAAAGTTTCTGGGAGACCCGTTCTTCAGTGTTGATTGATTTAGAACTGATTAAAATAAAAAATCTTCCCTGATCCAGAATACTGACACCAGAAATAATATAAACTTGACCTTTCTTCTAGCCTTTTTATTTGGTCTGTTAGATGTGGTATTTTTCTTAGTGCTGTCCTCTACATTGCACTTGGCAGAGCTATGAATGCTCGTAACAGACTGGTTTTCTTTTCAGTATAGAATTCTCAGCACTGTACCCCTAGGTATTAGAGCATGTTTATTCTCTCCATAACAAGCAGAATCTTGAGACAAATGAGGTCTAAAATCAGATGGTACCTGCTGAGCTGTAAACTGATGCTAGTAAAGCTGAGTTGCTTAAGGCAGAAGCAGAAAACCTTCACTCTTGTTCTTTAAGGTTCTTCATTAAAACCGTGTGAAAAGCATTTAATGGAAGAAATCACTGAATGAAGAACCACCCCAGTATTTTGAGAAATAGCAAGCGAAGGTTGGCACTTTTGGATGCCTTCTTCAAATGCTTTCTTCATATGTTATGTATTAGAACAGCAGTGATATTTGTTTTCTCACGTTTAGTATTTGAGTGGTTGTTTTTGCTGTAGGAGTGATTAATTAGGTAGCTCCTTATATTTTGCATACTGAGTCATGTTCTTACCAGTGCTGAAGCCAGAAGCGTAACCATTGATATTGAGACTTGCTTACCAAAAAATGGTATCTGTTACAAAAAGATGCAACTCAGACAATATTGCCAAATGTAATGTTAAAGCTTGTTTTTATTGCCCATGGAAGTGCTCTTATTTAGTCTCTCTTTCTCGTTTTTACTTCTGTGCAGCATCTGGAGACCAGACAGCTCACATCTGGAGATACATGGTACAGTTGCCTGCACCTCAGCCAACTGCAGACTGCAATGTAAGCAATCATCTTACTGCAGCTAGCCTAATTGCGCAGCAATTTCGTCAGATACCGGTTTTATGATAAGACTGAATGTTAAATTTATACATCATTAAAAAATTACGTCATTTTAGGATTACAAAAGATGGGATTTTTAATGTTTCAGTTTAACAGCTATATTTCAGCCTTCCACAAAAGACTCAGTCTGTGGTGCAGAATAGAATATGCAGCTGCAAATACATTAATTGACTTTTTTCAAGCTAAGAAATGTGTGATTTTTTGAGTAAAATTTTTTTGTAATGGTTCAAATTATAAATAATAATGTTCTTTTAAAATAAGATAATTCTTGCAGCTTAACTCACTGAGGCACTTGTATTAGCTGTAGTTGCCATGAATTGAAAACTGGTGGTAAAGACTTGCGATTTTTGGCATTTATTTAATTGTACCTTCATTGATTTCTAAGGACCCTTGCCAGGACACATCACACTATCTGATGTTGTCTTGAGGCTTTTATTTAGTCGGTATTTACTGTAGACTGTAAAATGCTATATTTGACTTGAAAGCATGCTTACTAAATTGTGGAGACAAACATAGTTTATAGCATGAGCTTCTCAGTAAGCTGAGTAGGGGCAAGAAATGGCTGTATAATATAAGATAGATTTCTGAATGGGAAATGTTTGATTCAGTTTATTTGATTTGGCATTTAGAAGTGCAGTACAAATGTTGTCTTTTTCACATCCAGATATCATGAAAGAAAAGTGTGTTTGTCTTGCATAAGTGAAATGGGTTCAGAGACTGATGCTTCATGGTTAGCAGAAGAATTTATTTTGCATCCAGTTTACATTAGCACTGCATGATAACTATGTATTGACCAGCAGAAAAATACTGATGTCATGATTTTGCTTCTAATGGATAATAATTACAGGTGTAAATCTTTGTCTTCCCAAAGATCAGAATAGATGGTGTTCTGTTAGAATGCTTCCTACGCTTTAAAATGGAAAGGGGAAAAACATCCCTTGATACATGTGCTGTGATGAAACTTGAGGATAATACAGTAAGGGCTGTATAAAAAAAAAAACCCTATCAGGTAGTAAAAGGGACATATACTCAGAGGTAAACAATTCAGAAGAGATTTTAGAATGAAGTAGTTATTAAAACTGCATTGAACTCCTTGGTATTATTCCTCCAACTAAGTTTTTTTGATATTGAGTATTTGAATAGGTAGATTCTACAGAATTAAGTTACCTATGTTCACATTAAGGGGATTTTGAAGCATTTACACTGTAAAATGCAACTTAGAGACACTCCTTCCCTTGCATTCTGAATATTTTTCCTCTTGCATTTTATAGCAAATATCTGGAGAAGATGAGGTCGAGATCTCCGATAAAGATGAACCGGATGGAGATGGAGATGGTTCCAGTGACTGTCCCACTGTCAGAGGCCCATTGACTTCCCTCAAAAGCCATCAAGGAGTGGTCATAGCAGCCGACTGGCTTGTTGGGGGGAAGCAAGCTGTGACAGCATCGTGGGATAGGACAGCAAATCTGTATGATGTAGAGACTTCCGAGCTTGTCCATTCTCTTACAGGTACCAAAAAGAGAAATTGGTGCTTTGTTTTTATGTGTGGGTTTATTTCTAGATACTGCAACACTGGGGAAAGTAGCTGTTTGTCTGGAGTACGATGCAAGCATGTACAGGACTTCAGCTGCTGCTTGATGTTGTAATGCTTTCTAAAATTCCAAACTTGTAAATCCTCTGAGCATGAATTTGTGTTCTGAGCTTGTAATATAACCTATGAAAGTTTTTAAACTGAACATAGTGACATTTTAGTCCTTGCAAAATGTTTTTGCTGTGTTCATGGCACACTAAGTAGCAATAACCTATCACTACTTAATAATAATGTGAGAAGAGTAGTAGAGGTTTTTTTGCTATTACAAAGTTTCAAACTTTTACAGCAGTAGTAACATTAAAGTTCAGAATGGTTATTGTTTTTTCTCTTCTGTTTGAGGGGAAGAGAAGAAATCATCAGCATTTCATTGCAAGTGTATGTGTAAATGAAAAGTCTTATTTTCATTACCTTACATGTTCTCGCCTGTGATTGTAGGGCATGACCAAGAGCTAACTCATTGTTGTACACATCCCACCCAGCGTCTTGTGGTGACATCATCACGCGATACAACGTTCCGTCTGTGGGATTTCAGAGATCCTTCTATCCATTCTGTGAATGTCTTTCAGGGCCACACAGAGTAAGTGACAAGTTCCTTCACAGGTTTTTTATGAGTTCCAGAAATACAAAGAAAACTGTTCCTGTGCTCTTTTTGAGGTACTAAGTTCATTCCCTTGTTTTAGGAGACTGATTTTCACAGAAACCTCTAACTCTCTGCCTTCAAATGTACTTCAAATGTACATCAGTACTTAATTTCCAAATCAGCAGCCAGGGCTCTTGGTGTGGTATTGCTTATTTGGTAAGTCTAGATATAACTCTTTTCAATTAAAGGTAATTCAAGGTAGGAGGTTATTTTTGGCCTTGGTTATGCCTGTACTTTAGGGATATTGCTGTAATGCAGTTGATCAAGCAGATTACCTCTCCTTGACCGTCGATATCCAGTGTGAAAATAAAATCTCCTTCTTTGTAACCAGTGGGGGGAAGGGAAACAAAAAGTAGGATTAATTTTTACTCTGCAAGCTAAAGCTTCTAATTTGTACACTATTAAGAAACTAAAGTAAGGACACTGGTGACTATATTCTGTCAAAACAATGATTTTGGTGTAACATTTTTAGTTACCAATTTAGGCTTTTCATTTTTTTGTAATGGATAATGTTGAATATGGGCAAATGTAGTCATGAGGTGTTGACTTACCTTTCTCTTAATCAGAACTTTGATACATGGAAAAAGCAGTAACTCTGAAATACTTAAGGAAGTAAATTTTTTTTAAGATTGTGGAATGTTTGAACTTGACTATTTCAGAAACAGATTTCACCTACCAACTTCAGAATAACAGATGATTGTTAATTCTAGCTCAAAAGAAAACCCATAAATTTATTCATGTTTCTATTTTTTGAAAATTCAGACATGTGGTTTACGTTATGACTGAGTTTCAGTATCCACTTTTTCATTTTCCCAGCTGTTGGCTAACCTATATGTTAAGTAAAATCTCTTTAGACCCTCCCTGTGCCATACTCCTCAGCTTGACAATTTAGTTGGCGCATGACAATCATCCCATCTAAGTAGTCATCTCCTGATAGAACACTAAGCTTAACTTTGTGTCTGTGTCCTAGAATGGTTTCATGCTATCGTTTTTGTACGCTTCTGTCACTTTCTGTAGAATGTCTTGTGAAAGTTGGAAGTTTTTATGTCCATTGGTGCTTCCATTTTTTTTTTTCCTGAGCTGCTTATTTGTTTTGTCCCAGAACAGTTTTTCAGTGAAAGGAGCATGGTTGACATTAGTTTTTCCCTGTGTATGCTGAGACCAAATGATATTGATCCGGGGTGATGGTGTATACTTTAAGAGGTGTTAGCTGGTATTTTGGCCTCCGTCACCGAAACTTATAACCTGTCAGGGGAGCTGTTGTCTATGAAAACAGTGGACCTTGAGCAACCTCTTCAGTCACTATTCCAGCTTTTGCATTGTCTTCATATTTGTGTTTCCGTTGTTTTGTCTGTCTCCATTTTGTTCTGTGAATGTGTAAGATTTTAGTATTGACAAAGGCTTTTTTATCAAATACACTCCAAGAGTCTCAAAGTACACTGTAAGGTTGTTCCACTCTCTGTTTTGCTGAAGAGATGATTCAGTTACAGAAGACGAGAATCTCACTGAGGAGTGCACTGAGAGTGGGGAGGGGAGTCCAGGATTTTGCAGTCAAGACATACTTTGAGGAGTTTTAGTTTTGGTCAATTACTGTACTGCCTATTGGCAAAATAATTTTAAATTATTTTCTAATCAGCACTGTAACAATCTTCTCTCATTAAGAGGCATAGAAGAAATTGTTTTATCTGTTGACTGGAACATACATACGCACAGGACATTTTTTGGCTTTCCTGAACATCTGTTTGAATAATTTGCCAAGTTTTTAATATTTTGACAGGCTCTTGGAATCAGTTCTGTAAATTGGATGTTACAGTCGTTAGCGCTGATGATTTTAAAGCCCTCAAGCATAACTTCTAATAGCCGCTTGCTAAGTAGTACCTGACCACTAGCTGTGTAGAGCTCATAGAGTAGCAGGTTTGGTACTGTTTTTTTCTGTGTGTTTCACCAGATCGACTGTTACTGCGTTAAACTAGCATAAGTAGATGCCGAACATCTCGGTCCTGC